ATAGAGCCTTCTAGAAATGAAGGTTAAATTTACTAAAATGCTCACAACTTTAAATGTTAATAACTTTTTCGTTATAGCTCCAAATTGCAATCCGTTTGTGGTCACGCATTTGTATCGACATTTACTAACCAAATATGTAAAGAAATCTGAAAAATTATGAAAGGATCAAATACGTCCACGAAAATTCCGTTTAGTTCATTAAGGTACTGTTTGGTACGTGGGACGGGACGGAACAGAGTGGGACAAGGCGTTCCGTCCTACGTTTGGTGCGCCTAAAATGGGTGGAACGAGCTGTTCTACGGGACGAGTTTTGGGTGAATTTTCGTTCCACCTCACCCGCTAGAACGACTCGTTCCACCTCCGTGGAACACAAAATTATAACCTCTCCGTCTCCTTCTTCTTCCTCCTTGTTTCCATCCGAGGGCATCTTTGCTCCCGCTCCGTTCCATTCCATCCTGTCCCGTCCCGTCCCGTTCCGTTCCGTTCCGTCCCGTCTGCATACCAAACGATACCTAAGGGTGTTTTCAGTCATTTTACTTATAGAAAAATTTATACGCCACAAATATATAAGCGTTGAAACTACGAATACGAATATAAAAGACATAATTTTAAATAGTGAAATTCGGGGATGTAATTTCACATTATTCACAATACCTCACTACAGTTTTTAATTATTTGGCTCTTTACATGCAAGTGTAAGTGTTTATCATCCAGATTACCCTCAAAATCTAAACCAAGTACTGTGGCCTCACCAATAAAACATCCATCATTTGGATCACCCGCACAATCTGCATCAACATATAAATTGTATGGAGGGACTATGTTTATTTTCAAGACCATGGTCATGAGTTTGATTTTTATTAGCGTGGAACACGACTGACATCAATCCAATGTGTGATGGCAGCCTTATGTATGAATTGTCGTACTTGATTGAGAAAGGACTCCAACAACATTTCAACACATAGTAATATCTGGCAACGTACAATTCACCCTAAGAAATGCTAAAGGAGCCTATCTGTCATCTCATATTTTTTACAAAATATTTTGTAATGTTAACAGATCAATTACCGTTAAATTATGAGGTGTCAGAAAGTCTGAGAGTTCCATTTATAAGAATTCTTTTGGCATTTCTCCATAATTAAAAACTTGGCTTTTTCGTACACTGGAAGATAGTAGAAACTGGTCCTTGCAATCCATCATTTGTCTTTTACAAAAGGTCCAATATGTATTTGGATTGAGACAAGGGGGAGCTCATTCATAACAATATGTTTTGACCTTCATGCCCAAAAAGTAAAGTTCGAAAATCATTATCGAAAATAAAGGGCTATTTCCTGAATTAACTTGTTGATGATGTTAGAACACTATTGCAAGTAATACGTATATCATCGATATAAATAAGCAGACAAATGCGGAGTTTGAAATGTAAATAGAGAATAATTACTCTAGAAGCCTCAAAGCCCAAATGCTCGAGGTGATTAGAAAAGTATGGGAACCAAATTAACCCGACGTTTTTGTGTGTAAGCCTAAGGTAAGCGGCAAGGCTTGAAAATATATGATTGGCGTTGGGGGTTAATAAACCCTGTGGATGCTTTGCTTCATATAAACTTCATCCATTAAAATTTTAAGTGAAAGCTTTGCAAGTTTAATTGTGTCATGCAGTGGCGAATTATATTAAGGGCCAGAGGGGGCACGTTCCCCTCAAGCTTTCGGCCTTAAAAGTGGTAGTTTGAGCAGGAATCAGCCTTGTCTTAAATCACACGTCTTCGTCGCTCATTATGAAGTCGAATTACACTACGGCAAATGATATTCAACTCAGCATCACCACAAATTATATTACTCACTCCCCATTCAAAACCACCAGAAGGCGGATACAAAGTTTAGTTGTAGAGTTGATTCTAGCAGCTCACAAAGAAGAATTCCCTCATCTCATACGTCTAATAAATTTGACCTTCCAGCCCTATGCATATATAACTTATCTATTAATGTTCATTACAACAATATTGACCATAAAGATACAATTAAAATGGCAGAAAGGGTGAGGATGTACACTAAGAAACATAGTGAGTATGAGTTAGCTAAGTGCTCAACAAAATGTCTCACTTAAAATTGAAAAAACATTTGGCATTGCAAGCACTCCTTTTGGAATTCTATGATGACCTACATCTGTCATTGCTTAGTTGCCCACCATAAACGTTATTCTAGCTTCGCCCTTGATGCCATGGCCATGAAAAATGAACTGCAACAAACTAAACTAAGTGAATTATCACATGACTGAACGTTTCTCCATGATCCAAACTTTGATGTTCGCCATTCATCACGCTTTTGAGCATTGACTAAACATGTGGTGTCACGTCTCGATCCCAACATACATCCAAGATCAACACGTGACATCATCAAATAACCATATATCTAACATACCTGCCTCTGGAATATGTACCAAGCACATCCTAAGCCTCGGATTGCGTAGTAATTTTTCATACACTTTATGGTTGCATCTAACTTCCCGTTAGACTGCCTACGTACCCTCAATAGGGATCAAGCCATTTGTAGTTCATCCGAATATTATCCTCAACTTTTATCACAGTACTTTTAAGCGGAAAATCATAGCACTCATCGATCAATTAATAGAACTTGACATGCTAGGAATTTCTAGGTTCAGGGTTACATAACAATCCCACATGACCATTACTATTTCCACTTCATCCATCGCCTAAATCATCATGTTTCTCCACATAAAATCACAATACATAGCATGAAACATATTAAAAATCAACAAAGCGCAATATTATTTTCTAGCCACATTGATCAACTAAAACAATCATACTAATAACAATCATATCCAGCGTCATTCTACAATCCCGTCAATTAATCAATTCATGAATCAAAGATGCACGATCTTAGCATTTAATTACGTTAATCAATCAATGCAATAACATATCATTTCACAAATTTAACCAGGAACTTTATATAATTCCATACTTGGATTATGAGTAATAAACATGGTAATTCTAATTTATATTCACAACGTCTATTAGGCAGATATTCATTCTTTGCTGCAGCTATTTTTCTGAAAATTCATCATAACCACTCGTTTTAATTTATATTAAAAAAAAAAAAAACTGAAAGGCAGATATTCATTTGAAAAAACCATGCGCATGGGGCCATGCTCAGGAGAGAAACACATACAAGTGAAGCCAAGTTGGAGCTAGCTAGCATAATAATTAAGCATTTTTCGGGAAAATTCTTCCATGATACGACTCACCTAATTTAAATGGATTATTTTTCTCTTGGAGTTTTGTGAATCCAGATCACGCTACGAGCATTGGAGTAAAATCTCCCTTTTTATTGGTTGTTCAATTTCTTTTGATATTTCCTGCCAAACCCGGGATTGTGGTCCAATACCACTAATCCTACTGGTTTTTGAGAGATTTTTTAGTGTGATTGGTATACAGTATGGTATTCTACGTGTCATTATATAAATGGTGAGATATGTGTGTTAAAAAGTTAATAACTTAAAAAATTAAATTTCTCACCACTTCTATTAAAACACATGATGTACTACTTGTGTTCCCATCAGAATAAAAAATTTCTCCTGATTTGTAGTCGGTAACTATGTTTCAAAGTTATTTTATTTATAAAGAATGATGACAAATTCCAACAGTCCTCTTGTATTAATGGTAATTTTATCTTTATATCTTCTCTTTTGATTAAGAAAGATTACGAGAGAACCAAAAGAAGAAACATGAGTGTTTAGAATATTGAAACATGTATGTGGAAAGAAAATAATAATACTTTATAAATTAATTTGAGCTTCAAAGCAAAACACATACAAGATTTATTCAAGGAATGTTCCTCAAAACTCTTTTTTTTTTTTTTTTTTTTTTTACCGAATACATTTAAAGAACTGTTTTGAGGGAAAAAAAACTCATTGATCAAATTATTATTAGGGGTTTTTGAACATTAGTCCTTGTAAAAGATTAAAATAAAATAAAAACCTAGGTGCTAGATTACATATTCAATTTAATCCCATGAAGTGTGCTTTTATCAAAATTTATATTCAATTTTTGTTATTTAATGTGTATTTTTATTTAATATCTCCACATTAAATTTTAATTTTATTAATACACACATATTTAGTTATTTAATTATAAATGAACATAAATGAGAAAATATTAAAAGAAATTTGTGATACAAAAATATATAAATACATAAGTGTAAAGAAATGACTGTGTCGAAATATATAAAATTGACTTTTTTGTACCGAAATATTTTTTACCTACATGATTGTACCAAAATATATTATAATGAACCTTAATATATGTACCAAAATGTATTATATTGAATTAATTTACCTAAATGTCAATACCAAAATGTATGTACCGAAATATAGTATATTGAATTAATGTACCTAAAAGTCAATTCTCAAATGTGTGTACCAAAATATACGTACCGAAATGCATTGTATTGAATTAATGTACCTATATGTTTGTATTGATGGATATACCAAAATATTCAAATGTATTAATGTACCTAAATGAAGAACATACAAAATTGTTATCAGAATATATATTATAAAAAATTAGTTGCCTAAATGTAGACATTAAAATATATTATGATGAATGAAATAAAAATTAAATTTAGATGTAATCAATACATTAAAATAAAATAAAAAGATAAATTGTGACGACCCCTGTCCCAAATTATTATATATTTTTCTTCCCAAGTGTCGAATATGCCCTCTTTGGCTTAGTGACGTGGATGTGAATATGTAGTTTTAAATTATTATTTCTACCATTGTAATTAAATCGTACTTGACTTCATGAGCGCATCGACTGCGAGTTAGGGTCGAATTGGATTTTTAACGAAAATGTTACGGCGATTAAAGATCGAGATTGGGTAGAAATATAATTTTGGGTTGCCTATCACTTATTCACCAATCATTTTAGTCCCTATATTCTTGAGCCAATTAGATTTGGATTGTTTTGTTTTCCTTGGGCCAACTAGAACCTAACTCTCTTTCTCTCTTTTCCTCACAGCAGCCTAATCAGGTATTGTGATCATTTTCTTCTGACCAATCCCGTGTGCACACACACACATACACCCACACATGTACGCATCCTTCTTCTCTCCCTCACTTTCTCGACCTTTCCTCGTCCATTCACCGTAGCACACATACACCCAACCATCATCAACTCTCATGGATCGAGCTTTTGAAGACCACATTCGTGTTCCTTGCAAGCTTAGGAACCTAACCATACCCTTAGTTTGAAGAACAGATCACGAGAACTTGAGAAACCATAACCTCCGGCGAGGTGAAGTTTTCTCTGTCACAATCCTGACGTGATTTCGAGGTTTTAAGGCTTAGTAAGGTACCCAATCAACTTAGCTTCTCTAGAGGTAGTGATATCAATTTGGCCTTCCTTAGTGGTGACATCAATTCGATCTTTATAAAAGTTGAATGCTTTAAAATTACAGTGAATAAGTAGCTTATGTTACATCAATTCGATCTTTATAAAAGTTGAATGCTTTAAAATTTCAGTGAATAAGTAGCTTATGTTAATGCAGGATACTTTCAACAAAATTCATATAATCATAAGAAACAAAAGCATCACCACAAGGGAGGGCAACCATTCATGCTAGGAAGGCTCACAAAGTAATGAAGAAAAAGAAGGATGAAGTTAAAGGAGAAGTATTCAAGAAGCACTTGAGGTAGTGATGGTGATCTTTCAGATGACCACAATACTTGTGCTAAACTGGAAGACCATGATATGGATGACGACATATGTCGTTGGTTTCAAACATGCACATGGTATACCTGTTTTGTTACCAACACAATGTCTTAAACTCTAGTTAGCATCTCTGTATGTCTAGAGGTGTAAGGATGGTTATGTTAGCTTTTGGGATGTGCACTTGGTATATTTACTGGATGTTACCTAAATCATTGATTAATGAAAATGTGTTTCGCCAAAGCATTCCTCCTATTTGTTATGAATTCTAATTTTAGATGCAAAACAGGGAATATTTGGTAATTGGTTCGTCACACATTGTTCCTCATGGTTATATGATTTTTACATATGACGCAAGTTGCGCCACATATCAAAAGAATATGTGACACTTTCATTCTCATTTATGCTCAACCATAACATTCTAGGATCAGATTGGGTGATGATAAATTCCTCATTTATCCATTTGATATGTGACGAACTTATAGGTCATTGAATTTTGTTTTTTATGACGCCTATTTTGTCACACGTAAAGTTATTAAGTGACGAATGCGGCGTCACTAATACTAAAAATATGTGGCGAATGTAGAATTCGTCACTATACTATAAATGACGCAAGCAGTGACGCTGGAATTTTGTCACATATGATCAAATGTCACGAATTTTCATGTTTATGTGACGAATGTCTGTCGCTACCTTAGCCATGTTTTCTTGTAGTGCGCGCACGAAATTACACTTTGGCATGATCGTTTGGGACACTCTGGACAAATAGCAATGTGTCATATCTTTAAATCATCACATGGGTATCCACTAACCCGAAGTTGTATTCATGGGGGAATGCAAGGACTGAGCTCACCGCAAATCAGAAGAGAGCAACATGTGTGACCTCCTCAGGATAAACACTGACAGGGGAGTCATGCTCGCCGTTTAATTGTGTCATCACCATGGATTTTGAGGAAAGGTTGGTTTTTAAAGATGAATTCAAAGGTGATGGAAGTCATTACCCATTAGAAAAGATGGACATATTAAGAAAATGTGTGAAACAAGAGGGAGTGAATGTACCAATTAATACATTGAGCGTTTTGCATTAACTCATTAAAAAACAAGTAAAGAGAGATTGCACGTTTGACACTTGACTACCATGTAGTATATCAAATAAATTAGCCGCTAGGTGTCTTCATCTAGCACTCACACCCATCAAATTTCTTTTTTATTTTCTTTGGATTTGTATCACAAATAGTGATGTTTGACTAAGTTATTTTTTGTGTTTTTCGTTATGAATTGTCAAACACCACTGTATTATCGAAATGAGAATTAATAATTGAATGACTAGCATGATTATTTATATTAGGAGAGATGTTTTATATTTTTATTAGCAATGAGAATTGTACATTACGTTTTCATAACATAAAAGTGATGAAACATTGATGACAACAATCATAACTTGTTTGTATTAATAAACTACGAACGATATTAATACTGTCTATTATTAAAAAATAGGGTCATTAACATTATTCTAAAATTTTTTACCCTTTTATATTTCACCCCTTCTCTCAACAATTTCTGGCTTCGCCACTAGATGAGATGCATAAAAATCCCATCGATTTCTCACCGGGATCTGAGAATCTAGCAGAGTTACGTTCTCTGCGTGTGATTGTTCCATTCTTCTTCTTCTTCATTCTTTCTGTGCTCCCAGATAGCAGATAATCCAATAGCTTTATTCTCTTGTGCCTGTTATTGACACCTGGCCATGAAGAACGCAAGCAGACCTTGTAGCAAAATCCTCAAATCATACATCTTTTTTTCATTTCCTTTTGGTTGCTTCATTCTTTGCTGCAGCTATTTTTCTGAAAATTCATCATAACCACTCGTTTTAATTTATATTAAAAAAAAAAAAAAAAAAAAACTGAAAGGCAGATATTCATTTGAAAAAACCATGCACATGGGGCCATGCTCAGGAGAGAAACACATACAAGTGAAGCCAAGTTGGAGCTAGCTAGCATAATAATTAAGCATTTTTCGGGAAAATTCTTCCATGATACGACTCACCTAATTTAGTTGGATTATTTTTGTCTTGGAGTTTTGTGAATCCAGATCACGCTACGAGCATTGGAGTATAATCTCCCTTTTTATTGATTGTTCAATTTCTTTTGATATTTCCTGCCAAACCCGGGATTGTGGTCCAATACCACTAATCCTTCTAGTTTTTGAGAGATTTTTTAGTGTGATCGGTATACAGAATGTTACATCACTTGTCATTACACAAATGGTGGGATATATGTGTTAAAAAATTTCTCCTAGTTTTTGGTCGATAACTATGTTTCAAGGTTATTTTATTAATAAAGAATGATGACAAATGCCGTCCTCCTCTTGTATTAATGGTAATTTTATCTTTATATCTTCTCTTTTGATTAAGAAAGATTACGAGAGAACCAAAAGAAGAAACATGAGTGTTTAGAATATTGAAACATTTATGTGGAAAGAAAATAATAATATTTTATAAATTAATTTGAGCTTCAAAGCAAAACACATACAAGATTTATTCAAGGAATGTTCCTCAAAACTCTTTTTTTTTTCTTTTTTTTTTTTTTGTCGAATACATTTAAAGGACCGTTTTGAGGAGAAGAAAAACTCATTGATCAAATTATTATTAACATTGCTAGTACACTAGCTTTTCTTTTATTGTTTTTGTAATTCGATTTTAAAGTGTTTCTTCTTAATATTAGCAGTTATCATGAAGCTATAGTATATATTTAACCAAAGAATTAAAGAAAATGAATTAATTGGGGAGTATAGTCTTATACCAAGTATTGGCCAGGGAAGTATAGTCTTGTACCCAGTATTGGCCAACAGTACCTGGTATCAAGCTGCAGCACGTAAAACCAGGGAATGGTTTTGGTTTTGCGTCTGGTATATCATATAATGTAGTTGCAAATTAAAAAGTGTAATCTGGGATAATCAACAGTTATTTAATAAAGTAATTCGGCCTCCACTTGCCCTTATGCATATATAAATACCCACACAAGGTGCCTTTATTTCTCACCACAAAAAATTAAACAATTCAAACTGTTCTTACAAAAAGCCTTTAAGATTTCAATTTCATCAAGTTTTTACTGGATTCAAAGCAAGAATGTCTAATACTGCTGGTCAGGTCATACGCTGCAGAGGTAAATTTCCGTTTTGTTTCTGAGATTATTTATTAATTGAAGGGTTTCTTATTTAATTTTTGGTTATTAATTATTCTATAAAAACTGGATTTTAATCCTTAAATAAGATGAAGTTTAAAAAATGTCTTATACAAGATTAAAAATTGATTTTAGTCCCTAGACTCTATTTAATGTCAGGATATGTATTTAATGTATCTTTTTTTATTTATAATTTTATGATGTTCGTAAATAAAATTTTAAGATTATATTATAAATTTTAATTCTCATTATAGTAAATATCTCATATAAGAAAATATTTTCGTAGAGATTTTTCGGTACATTTATATTTTTGCATATTGTCTTATGTTGTACTAATTCATTGTAATATATTTAGGTACGAACATTTTGGTACACTAGTTTAGATAATATGTTTAGGTACGAACATTTTAGTACACTAGTTTAGTATAATATATTTAGGTACGAACATTTCGGTACACTAGTTTAGTATAATATATTTAGGTACGGACATTTCAATACACTAGTTTAGTATCATATATTTAGGTACGGAATTTTTGGTACACTTATGTTTTTGCATATTTTCTTATGTGCCACTAATTCACAACAATGTATTTAGGTACTACACTATATTTAGGTACGGACATTTCGGTATACTAATTTAATAAAATATATTATGATATGGATGTTTAGGTACACTAATTAGAAGAAGTTGAATAAAATTAATGAATTAAAATGTGTATAATAATAAATTTAAAATTTAATGTAATGACATTAAATAAGATATCTATTAAATATTAAAATAAAAATATAATATGAATTTGAATTAAGTACACATTAAAGGACTAAAATCAATATCCAATCTAACACTAGGTTTTTATTAAATTTTAGTCTTCTTCTAGGATTAAAGTTTAAAAACCCCTTAATTCTATTATTATTTCTGGTTTGTGTAGCTGCTGTAGCTTGGGAAGCAGGGAAGCCACTGGTGATTGAAGAAGTTGAGGTGGCACCACCACAGGCAAATGAAGTTCGCATAAAGATCCTTTTTACCTCTTTGTGCCACACTGATGTCTACTTCTGGGAAGCCAAGGTATGGCATTGTTTTGAGAAATTCATGGGAATAAACATTTTTGAATTTCGATTAAGAACTAATCAAAATCAAATATTAACGATATAGTATGGTCGAATATCGATGACATAACCGATGATTTAAGTAATTTGGATTTGAAAAATGATCATTGCTTTTCATTTTACTCCCAAGCATATTTCATTTTATTGATTCAAGATTCACATATTTACAACACCAAATCTAAAATGGGTTTTCTATATTGCAGGGACAAAACCCTTTGTTTCCTAGAATTTATGGTCATGAGGCAGGAGGGTATGTACATTTCTATAATCTTGTTACCAAATTAATAAAACACATAGGCAGACTATGTACAATTGAATCATTGATCATGAATTATAACTTATGTGGATTGCTGGTGAATACTTTTAGGATTGTGGAGAGTATTGGTGAGGGCGTGACAGATCTGAAGGCCGGCGATCATGTCCTGCCGGTGTTCACAGGGGAATGCAAGGACTGCGCTCACTGCAAATCAGAAGAGAGCAACATGTGTGACCTCCTCAGGATAAACACTGACAGGGGAGTGATGCTCAGTGATGGAAAATCAAGATTTTCAATCAAGGCAAGCCTATCTACCATTTTGTTGGGACTTCCACCTTCAGCGAGTACACTGTTGTTCACGTTGGCTGCCTTGCCAAGATCAATCCCTTGGCGCCTCTAGACAAAGTCTGTCTCCTCAGTTGTGGAATCTCCACAGGTAAATTGTTTATTACTATAGAGCCAAATTGTTCAAGGATACAAGTTGTGTAATTGATATCATTTTCTTATTTGTTTTTTTGAATGTGTGTTGTTTAGGTCTCGGAGCTACTCTAAATGTTGCAAAACCGAAAAAGGGATCAACTGTGGCTGTTTTCGGATTGGGAGCTGTAGGCCTTGCAGTGAGTCTTTTAGTCACTTTCACTTGCTTGCTCACTTGTACATGTATGATGAAAAATGCGTGTCTAAGTCGATCCTACTGT